AGTTATGGATGACGCTACCATATAAAAAACCAATGAGTGATAGTAGGAGAAGATGAGGAGCTCTGGTGTCGAGACTTAAAAAAAAAATTTAATATTAAGTTAACATGAGAAAAAATAAGAGAGAAAAGTAGAGAGGAGAGGGAGACAACTGGAAAGGGATAAAATGATCTAGTGTTAGGAATGTTTCTTTTTATACTTTGTTTTTTAAGTCATTTAGATTCAATTGAACTGGTTCAGTTAAATCGGTTTAAACTTTTTGAAATTAAAATTAAACCAAATTAAGTGGTTTTTTTATTTTTTAAATCAATTTATTTGGTTTTTCATCGGTTTGATATTTTTAGTTAATTTTTTCTTGGTTTCTTATTTAATTATTTGATCGGTTTTTTTAAACACCCTAACTCTAATACTAAACACTTCATCCCCTTCTCTATTTAGATTGGGAATAATTTGTTTGTTTCGGATTTTTTTCAGAGAGTGTGTCATGGTAAACGAAGAGAATATACTTCATTACATGTCTCTTTAAAGGGTGACAGCAGAGATAACAACGTTGGAACAGTGACATGGATATTCAAAGTGAAGTATACTTTTCAAAAATCTAAATTAGTTTCAAGACCATCTAAAATCCTGTCTGGAATTCGAGTATTTGGAAGTCTGTTAATTTTTATTATTATTATGTTTTAAAAGTATATTTTACTTTGAAAAGATATACAAATTAATGTTTATTTAATTTTTTCAATGGTTTTGATATACTAATATTAAAATTTTTAAAAAATTATTTTGATATATTTTTAAATAAAAAACATTTAAGAAACATAATATACTATACTTAGAGGAGTTCATGATCCGGTTTTAATTAAAAAATTCAACCAAACTAAAAAAATAGTATTTCTTATCAATATGACCCAGACTAATCTGAAAATCGGTTCAAACCAAATTAATCCAAGAATCGGTTCAAACCAAACTAAATTTATGCAATTCAGGTCGGCTTTTAGCATTAAAAACCAGAAACTAATTAAATAAGTTTATTTTTAGTGTTGTTGTTATATCAAAATTCTCTAATTCCTTCTTTTCATAATGAATGATGTTTAGATTTGTAAATGAATATGGAGCCATTATAACAACTGAAAAAGATATAATCATTACTCTTCAACTTCAAATAAAGTTCACAAACACAAATTAAACTTTTTCGTTTTCTTTTTAATTTGCTACACTTTTTTATTTTTTTGTTTTAGACTTTGCTTTTCTTTTTAGGTTGCTTGCCACTCAAGTAAAGAATGGCTTCAATCTCAAAATTTCTATGACTTTTCACTCAATAGAAAAGGACTCTATTCAAATGAAAGGATGTAGGTCGAACTTGAAAAATTAAAACCGGTTCTTAATATATGAGTTGTTGTCGGTGGTTGATGATAGAAGTAAAGTAAAAGTTATGGATGACGTTACTATATAAAAAATCAATGAGTGATAGTAGGAGAAGATGAGGAGTTCTGGTGTCGAGACTTAAAAAAAAAGATTTAATATTAAGTTAACACGAGAGAAAATAAGAGAGAAAAGTAGAGAAGAGAGGGAGGCAGCTGGAAAGGAATAAAATGATCTAGCGTTAGAAATGTTTCTTTTTATATTTTTTTTAAGTCATTTAGATTCAATTGAATTGATCCAGTTAAAACGATTTAAACTTTTTGAAATTAAAACTGAACCAAACTAAATGGTTTTTTTTATTTTTTAAATCAATTTATTTGATTTTTCATCAGTTTGATATTTTTAGTTAATTTTTTTTAGTTTTTTATTTAATTAATTGATCAGTTTTTTTAAATACCTTTACTCTAATACTAAACACTTTATCCCCATCTCTATTTTTTCATAATCATTTCTTTCTTTACCGTAGCAAACATATTTATCATTTCCAATCAATGATTTGTAATGTTTAATTGATTGAAATTTAAAATAAATATTAAAAAAAAAAACAAGAATGAAATCACTAGTAAAACGTAGAGATTAAAGAAATAGAATTGACAAGTGTCATTTTATTGTATTCAGACTAAAAAAATTATTTAATTGAGATATGATAAAGGTGTGTAAATGATACATAATTAAACCACTATATTTCGATGAGTTTGTTCATTACTCAAAGAACATTATTCTTTGTTTTTTTTTTCTTTTTTGTCTCTGAAATCTTATATTAAAAACTCCTTTATCTTATTTATTCAAAATTTTATATGTATCGTGGTTTGTATTAAAAAATGTTTTTTCATATGTTAGACAAATCTAGAAAGGGCCTTCAATTATATGGAAAGAATTGTAAAGTCGCAGTGAGTACCTCTCGATCTTGCTATTAATAGTTGCTCTACAAGCTTATGTGTTACATGAGTCCTCAATTTGTTCGAGGCTATAGAATTATTATTATTATTATTATTATTATTAATTAAACTATAGCTAAAAGAAAAGTTACTGTGGCACACAAAATACTATTTATGGTAATAAAATAATTATTATAATGTCTCTTAGTCATTAAAATTTTAAACTGGGTATTGAAAGTAATGTAATCTTTTTATTATGATATAATTATATTTTAGGAATTGTATAGGGTTAGTTTGGTAATATTATTTTTATATATAATAAAATTACTCCTTTAACCCTCCAATAAAATAATCCAATGTCTTCTATTCAATGACTTTTTTGTGTTTTTAAATTTTTAGAATAGTGTAATTATTTTGATAGAACAAACTAATCAACTTTCACCTAGTTTTTTTTTTTGTCATTTTACACTGCTTTAATTGTAATTTTCAAGAGGTATTAAAAGTATCGTTGTAAATTATATTTATCAAATATAATTATAAAAAAAACTTGTGCTAGCTTATGGATAACCCTTGTGTTATTTGTACATTGAGTGAAGGCCCATCCAGCCACCACCTTTTAACCATATAAAGTACTGTTTGTTTTAAGATTTATGGTGATTTAGTATCAGTGACCATTTCTTTTCCCTTCTTTCTTCTCTCTTTCCTGCCTAAATTTCCATGTTAATCCCTTAAAAATTAAAGAACAATCCTTTAATTTGTTAGTTCTTTAAATTTGGTCTCTTCACTTTTTATTATTGTTTTTTTTATCTTCAATAATTTATAGAATTTAGTTTTTATTTTTTTTATTGTTATTTTTTTATTTGGAATCATTTTTTATATTGATTTTGTTTTATGATTTCACCTTTATTTGCTCTTTTCTCCTTTAAATCCATGTTTTTTTTTATTGTTAATTTTTTAGCCTTGACAAGTTTTTATTTTAAATTATAAATGATTTTATTTTATGATTTCACCCTCCTTTGATTTTTTTCTCCAATCAAATTTAATTCATATTCTTTTAAATGTCAATTTTTTTGCTTTGATAAATTTTTAAATTTTATATTTTTCAATTGACTCATAATAAACTTCTTAATTGGACTCAAATACAAGGTTTCAATTATTACAAGTTTTAACAATTTAACCAGGTTTAAGATATTTGGTCAAATTTGTTTGGTTTTTATAAAAGTTTTTCAATTTCACCTCCTATAGTTTCTTTTATCTTTAAAATTAGATCTTCATTCTTTTAATTGTTGTTTATTTTATTTAGTATCATTTTTATTTTTATTTTTATTTTTACTTAAATTGCATCCTCCTTCTTGGTTTTTTTATATTTATTTTATCATCTTTAGGGATTTTTTTGAAATATTTTTTACCGATCTGATCCTTCAAAATTAAATTAGTTAAAAATTAAAATTTTTAATTAAATCCAAGTCAAAGATTGTTTTTTTATTTTCTTTGGTTTGATTCTATTGGAGTAGCCCCTAACAATTTATTTCTATTTCACCCACTACTATTTTTTAATGTATAAATAATTTATCAAATTACAAAGGTTTCTCAATTTCACCCTTATGATTTTTTTAGTCTTTCAAATTTGGTTCTTATTTTTTTAATTGCAAACTATTTTGTTTGGGATTTTGTTTTCAAATGTCATCCTCCTTGGGTTTTTTCTTGTCAAAATTTAGCTTCATTCTTTTTGTTGTTTTTTTTTGTAATTTTTTTATCAATATTTTTTTTTATAATTTTATTATTTAAAATTAAATTTATTGAGAATTAAGTTTCTTGATCGAACTTGGATTTAAAATTTCACAAGTTATATGTTCTAGAGATTAGAGCAGGTTTAAGAAGTTCATCCGAGTTTACTAGATTTTTTTTCTCTTTGTTAAGTTTATTTTTCTTATTTTTAATCTTTGTTGGGGTTTTTATTATTATTGTTATTTTATCACCAAGTCCACTTTAATCTATATTTTGTTTTTTAATTCCACTCCCTATCAATTTTTAATCTATAAATAATCTTTTTAAATTATAAATGTTTTTCAATTTAATCTCTTATGATTTTTCTAATATTTTAAATTTAAAACTCATTCTTTTAATTTTAATTTTTTTGAGAATTTTTTAATTTTTCAAATTTCATCATGTTTTTCTTCCAAATTTTATCCTTATTCTTTTTATATTTTTTTCTATTTTTGTAAAAAAAACATTATTAATTTTGGTCCATACGGGAAGGTCCTAAAAGTGTGTTTCTCGAACAATACTTGTAGTATGTAAGTTTAAAAACCATCCTTGATTTTTTCTCGAACAATACTTGTAGCGTGTAAGTTTAAAAAACATCCTAGATTTCATGTTTTGGTGGATTTGGTTAGTGATGGAGCTGAATGGTGAAGAAGGTGGTTCCATACAGCTGACCCTGACTAGTTTGGGATCGAGGCTTTATTTTATAGGGCTTTTTCGTTTTGCAATGCTTTAATATGAGTGGTTTTACAGGAAGCTGAGATGCAAAGTTGTTAAAATGGGTTTTTTTTTTTTTACTATTCCAGAAACTCTGCTCGTTCTACGAGCGAACACCATCGGTAATGTTGAACACCAGACTGGGTTTTATTGAGACATGAGCTTCCACGCGTACATGGATAAAAGAGAAATTCCAAATAGTGGAGGGTAAAAATTTGGCGCTAATTTGGTCGTTAAGAAATTTAATTTCTAACAAAAACAAATTAAGTATGACCTCTTTATAGATACAAATAAAAGGCTACTATCAGCAAGTCAAATGCCACAGGTTTCACGACTTCTCAATGCTCGTGCATTGTTTCATATTACACAGCCTTTGAATCCTTAGAGACAGCTCAAAACAATATATTCATGTCCAAGCAGATTTGAGGATCAAAAAATGAAACTACTGATATAAACCACCAAAAAAGACTTATTCACGTCATTGGCACATATTGTGGCTTCGACTTCGTTTGATCTTGTTGACGTGTGTCTTTCAGTCTGGATGATCACAGACAGTTATTTGCAAGTGGGAACTATCCTGTTCAGCCGCATATTGTCTGATGAAAGCTCTTCTCCACCAGACCTCAAATGCTTTCTGGATATCGGGGCAGTCATCCCCCTTACTAAGAAAACGGTCAAACCAAGTAAGCAAAATTGTCTGTTGTTGAAGCAATGGAAGGGTAAGAATTGTCTGGCTAAGTCCATCCTCCACCAGTTTCTTATCCACAGATCTACAGGACCTTGTCATCCACGCAAAGTCTTCATAAAGAGCTTCCAACCAGGTAGACAGCAAAGAAAACCTGCTATCTTTTGGCACCAAGATATGTCCTCTCCCAATTGCAATGCATAGTTGTGCAGTAATCTTGCTGATTTCATGTCGGTACATGGTTGGAATTCTAGAATGGAGCAGTGCAAGCTCCTTCTGATCTGCCCATAATTTCACAAATTCATCTCCAATTTTTCTATCAATTAGAATGTCAACAATCCAGCGCATATTCTCAGCTTCTTGAGCTACTTGGGCCATTAAAACCCCTCTATCAACCCTGCAGTCATCTATGCCAGTAACTTCAGATAAGCATAGAATAAGAGAGCTAAGACATCTTTGGCAGAGAGAATAAAGGGAATCTTTAGAAACATCAAGCCTATTGCTGTTATCAGATGAATTTTCTCTAAAAAAGCGAGAAATCAGATTTCTCATTTCTCGGCGGGCTTTGTCGTCTTTGGCCTGCATAACACCACTCAACAGTCTCAAGAAGATGTCATCACCCCTAGTAGATGTAGATGGTTCGGATGACACTCTCTGGAGAACTTCAGCTGCCAAGTCACAGAGCTGAAGTTGACTGAGTTGAGTTACAACCTTTTCCTCTTCATCCTCAGACCATGGAATAGCTTCCAAGCATTCCAAGCATGACTCAATCCCTGTTTCAAACATGATATCTGCAGATACCTAGAACAGAACACTAGTATTACCAATGCTTAAAGTTCAGCAAGCGAAAAAAGTAACATCATTATTCCACACACAAATATCTCCCTTGAAAATTAAAAAAGAAAAAAGAAAAAGAAAAGAAAAGGACAAGATGCATCGAAAATCAAAACCCAGGAAGACGAGATCTTGAGGAAAGAAAGAAAACAAGAAAAGACAGAGAATTTAAGTATACCTTGAGGAAAGCCAAGACCCTGGAGACGTCCTCATCCATCAATCTCCTCTTCAGATCATGAGAATACATCAAAACTAAAGTCTCCAAATAAACCTCAACATCATCACAGTCACTGATCTCCACAGATTGCATAACAACCCCTTGATCTCTCCCTCTCAAAGTATCCCTAAAGAAGCCACTCTTTTCCAACAGAACCCTTTTATGCACATCCATTGAAATCCGTGTATGCCCATCTTTCCCAATTACTGTCAGCCTCACATCGCCCCTTCCATAGCAATTCAAGTCCTCAAATTCTTTCATTATTTTCGAGATTTTACTTTGGTGGTTCTGTTCATCTGACATCATCTGGAATAAAGTTTGGTTTTGGTGATCTGGATATACTGGAGTAGTAGTATATGGTGGAGAGAGATTGTTAAGGCTCCTATTACTCCTACTGTTATTTGAGACCATCTTCATATGAGGTGGAGTTGTTGATGATGGCAAGTTAAAAGAAAGAGTTGGGTCTGAGGATAAAAATCCTTGCTTTATCATTCTTGACACTTGTCTTTCTGAAGCCATCTATTTGATCTACTAGGGTTTTCCGGTGAATGAATGAATACGGGAAGCAACAATTTTACTGCCTGGATTTGGTTTAAATGTGGGAAAGTTGAGGAAAAAGAAAGAAAGGGAGAATCCAATAAAGAAGGGGAGGTGGGGGGCTGTTATTGTTGCTGCAATTGACACTTAATTTATGTTCTCTGCTGTGAGGTATCTGATTATAAAATAATTCTGTATTATTGATCCCTTGGATCGGACGTGATCCATTTCATATACACCATTGGGTCAAAATATATTAAAATCCCTGTATCTACATTTTTCAAAAAGACAGTGAATCTAAATGCATAAAAACCAGCCCTAATAATGAGATTTAAGACTCAAAGGGGTTTCCTGTTATCTTTTACGAATTATCACTAGGGATTCAGTAAATATGTTGCTGAATTTGAAATAATTACTTCCTCAAATTACTGATCGCAACAATTATGTGCTTGGCCTACCATGAGAATTACTTTGACCATGAAAGTTGCTTTGACAAGGATAATGCCATTTCAGATCCTCCTATACCAGCTGCAACTGGCAAGCTGGAGAAGCTTCAGACGGTAGATCACTCTAACCATACATTTTGTGGAGAAGCACCCTCTCCTTTGGGGTATCTCAAGAACTTGAATACCTGTCAGTTTGAAACTTTTTTATACTTTGGTATTATTATTATTATTTTGGTTTCTTAGCCTTGAATAAGATATCAATTTTTTGGGACTCTAATTATGTATCTGTTGATTTTTGATCTAGTTCCAACTAATTTTTTTCTCTGAAACTGGTTTAATGTGCTTTTCTTACCATTCAGGTACTGTTTTCATGCCCTAGATGGTGGCGATTTGTCTACAAGAAAAAAGTCTAAAACAGTATCTCTTGAATGAAAATGCTAAACAATTTCGTAATCTGGAGACCGGGAGAGGCTGGCACTTTTAGAGAACATGTAGAATCAGTAGCGAGGCTCAAGAACTGAATCTGAGCTTTAATCCCAACATCTATCTTTCAATTTCCACTCAAGGCAAACTTGACAGCAATTGCCTAAATGATTGGTGTTGGTGATAATCTGGCATAGGAATTAAAATCTGCATGCCAGTAACATTAGTGGTTATAACTGGTGCATTTGCTGGTACTATCACTTAAAATTGCTTCTGTTGGTGACAGATTCCAGTTTGCAGTCCTGGCAAATTTCAGGTCGCTCTTGCTTTTAGTTGGCTTAGTCAGAATCATCGTGTTCAAGTGATTGTACCTAGATAACCAGCAGCTGCAAATGTAAGTTCTTTTTTAACACCGGTTTGTGTATTTCTGTATTTAGTGAATGATCACTAGATCTTAGCTAAACTCATTGTTGCTTTATGCATGATAAATTCAACACTCGTTAGTTTATGATAGAGAGTGGAATCACTTTGTTCCAAGTTCCAGATAGCTAGAGAATTAGTAGAAAAATCTTTAACAAGCATCCTTTTTTGAATAACTAGATTGTAGCATACCTTTTTTCTCTTCTCCGATTATCAGTGAAGCGCATTCATGAACTTGCTGCATAAGCCATGCAATGCAAATTGGCTAGCAACTAACTCCATAGAGGAAATTCGACCAGCAAAATTAGACTCTTGACATAATAAGAGGTACAACTGATAAAGCTCCACTTTTCGATTAAAAAAATAACTTGTTGGAGTTATCCGAAACAATTCGGTCTTGATCTTGATCAAAATTTTAAATTCAATTATTTTTATGAACGTGCCTATTCAATTCAATACCAGAATTATTAGACTAGGTCCGGTCCATGATCCAGGCCACGGCTAAATTACAGGTTGGGCAATGGTCCATCTCGGTTTCATGGGGCCATGTTATTCAAATCTGGAGGGGAGTAATCTCTCCTAGAGAGACAAGAACCTTTCTTAACTAAAATAATTTAATACGTATATTTTTTATGATTTCTTAAATATGCAATAATATATAATTAAATTTTACAAATATTATATTATTTTAGAATTTTTTACTAATATAATTATATAGTGTCATTAAATAATATTAAATACAAGTTTTTTAAATAAAATATAACACTTAAAAAATTTTATTAAAAATTTTTATTTTATTTGATTGAATCCAATTCAATACAATTAGATTAGATCGAAATCCATCCAGATTATAAATAGTAAAAATACTCTTCATTGTTCATATAATTAGTGAAGAGTGAATTACTCTTCGTATTTTTATCATAAACAATAAAAAATAAATTAATTAGTAAAGCAAAGTCTTTGCGTTAGTTTCTATGATTATGATTTTAAAACTAATTTAAAATTAGTTTGAAAAAATATATATTTAATTAAAATTAAAATTAAAATTGAGATTAAATAAAAAATAATTTAATATGAATATTTTCCATGATTTCTTGAATATACAATAATATATAATTAAATTTTACAAATATATAGTGTCATTAAATAATATTAAATTCAAGTTTTTTAAATAAAATATAATGTTTAAAAAATTTTATTAATTTTTTTTATTTTATTTGATTGGATTCAATTCAATACAATTAGATTTGAATCGAAATCCTTTTAGATTATACATAGTAAAAATACTCTTCATTGTTCATGTAATTAGTGAAAAATGAATTACTCTTTATATTTTTATCATAAAAAATAAAAAATAAATTAATTAGTAAAGCAAAAGTATGAAAATTTTACTTTTACGGTCACAGCTATAATATAAGTAAGTTACACCAAAACAAAACTTAGTTTGTAACTTAACCAAAACATTAATATTTATAATATTTATGATTAAGTATCCATCTCAATCCCAATCATGGAAACCTCATTGCCGGTGTAAAATGGCATTCTCTGAAAGAATTAACTCTATTGTAGTATTGAAGAGGCCGGATCGCCTTCGATGGCTCAAGGTAATTATTAAGGTGCTTTTGAAAGAGTATGATTTTCTTTAATCAAGCATTCATGTTATTCCATGGGCGCTAATTACACTGCTGTTATGCACAGAGTCTGAGCCCTAACTCCAAAAGGAGTTGATTCAATTCACCTAATCAATAATTATATTCTGTTCTCCTTTCGGCAGTAACACTATGAGGAAAGAAGGTCCTCTAAGTAAACCTGCAACTGTAGCAAAAGACGCGTACCTCTACAAATTTCAAAGGAGACGTCTTCTACCTGGGAGGAAAAGGAAACATAAACTGCAGTCGTTTTGGTTAATACATATGGTCAAAAGCTACCGAATGTTCCCATGTTACTGATCATTCTCTGCTTGCATATGCAGAAGAAGCAGATGCCATTTCAATGAATGCTGAAGGCATATGGGAATAAAATTAATAGCAGGGGTATAGAACAGAAATAGAGCTCATAACAATGTTTAAAATAGTTTGAGCTGCTGCACCGACGAACTCAGACTCAGGTTTTCAGAAGCCAATTTGTTTGCTTCATTTGTTGAATTTCATACAAGATCATGATTGTCAACATTTCTCTACAACCACCTTGTTGCAACGTGTTCTCTCTTCTACTGCTTATGTGAAAGCAAAGGATAAAAAGTCTGTTATATGTTAAAACCATTATATTTATATATATAAAATAAGAATGGATAGATTTTTAAAAAACTAATTTTTTTCAATAATATCTATAATTATCAAAAATTCATTATAACTTTTTATATAGAAAAAAAACTAGAAAACTCTTAGAATAAAAAAATAAAGGAGTAAAAAATATTCCCTTTAAATAGAAAAAAAAAATAAATTAGTAAAAAATATTCCCTTCAAATAGAAAAAAAAACTAGAAAAGTATTATAATTAAAAATTAAAAATTAAAAATATCTATTTCCCTAAAACAACTCTTGCATCGGTCTTCACATGTCAAGAGGAATTTGACATTAAGTTTAATTTTTAGTTAAAAATTATTTTTTATCAAGAATTTTTGTGTGCGTGAGTCATTCCATCATATTCCTTATCATTTTTGTATGGATCACTATATTATAAATTCCTAACATAACATTTTTATGTGGTCGTCTTATCAAGTTTCAACACCAAGATTTTGAAAGACAAAACTGACGTAAAAAAATAACATATTAGTTTTTGAATATATTTTATCTAAAAAGAAACTTTCTCATTTACAAATATATCTTGTTGAGCAATTTTTTTTATTCTCTCTTATACAAATATATCTTGTTGAGCAATTTTTTTAAGCTATGGTTGTTTTGCGGTACATAACAAAGCAAAATAACCACTAAAAATTATTAGATTTTAATACTAATTAAAGTAGATAAAAATGAAGGATGAAAATATTTGTTATGCAGAAAAATCCTCACAGAAAAAAAACATAATAAGTATAGAGGGACTCTCAAGATATATAATTTTACTTATTTATGTCTCGACCTATTAAAAGGTTATTATAACTCTTTATACAGAAAAATTAATAAATTTTAATAATATTGAATAGAAAAAAATAAATGAGAAAAAATTAGATAAATAACTTAATAAAAAATAAAAATAGAATAATATCTATTTTCCTGAAAAAATCTATCGCATCACCTTATCTTCTCAAAGTGCTCATAGAAAAGAATCCTTTAACATTTAATAATATTTTGGAACCTTCTGCAACTAAAAGAAAATTTTGTGTGATAGTTTCCACCGTCTTATTAATTATTCTTGATGTAATTTGCAGAAAAAGATACGTATAAAAAACATATTCTTAACCGACAAAAAATATAACAAATTAACCATTTAGATATTATTAGTTACTCCTGATTACCATAAAATTTCTTAATTTCCTTTTCCAAACTAATCTTATGGGTCTTAATTTTTAATTTTATTTTGAGATATTATTAGTTACTCCTGATTACCATAAAATTTCTTAATTTCCTTTTCCAAACTAATCTTATGGGTCTTAATTTTTAATTTTATTTTGAGATATTATTAGTTACTCCTGATTACCATAAAATTTCTTAATTTCCTTTTCCAAACTAATCTTATGGGCCTTAATTTTTAATTTTATTTTGTGAGATTGGATGGTGCGCATGCACGCCACCATTGCACTTGGAGTGGATTCTGATAAATCTAAATTTCCATTTCATTGCATGGAATGGAATGTTCGCGTCCCAGCAAAGCATCATCCCTAAGTTCATCGGTGCTCGCTGGGAATTGTT